CTTCCCCAGGGGGTAAACATGAGACCCTAGGGTCATAAACCTTAAGACCCTTCCATCTATGAAGAGTGTTTGATTCTACCATATCTGGGTCTTTGAAAAGAAGATTTTTGAAATTTCATTCAATTCAACCCTTTTTAGCCCTACCCATCAGCCCTGGGGGGTCAGTAATGGCTCATATGTGCATACCATCAACCTGCTACCCAATACTGATAATGCTTACCCAAATTGAACTACTTCCAATGGAAATTATACAAATGTTGGTCCAAAATGTGATTTCCCTATATAAACTACATGTATAGTTAAGTTTACCCCTTACCCAGGGGGAAACTTGATACCCCAGGGTCATACAATTTACAATTTTGGTAGAGCACCTTAAGACCCTTCCATTTTTGAAGAGTATTTGATTCTACCATATCTGGGGCTTGAGAAGAAGATTTTTGAAATTTCAGTCAATTCAACCCTTTTTGGCCCCACCTATCAGCCCCACCCATCAGCCCCGGGGGGACAGTCAGGGCTCATATATGCATACCATCAACCTGCTACCCAATACTGATAATGCTAACCTAAACTGAATTACTTCCAATGGAAATTAAACAAATATTGGTCCAAAATGTGATTTCCCTATATAAACTACATGTATAGTTAAGTTTACCCCTTACCCAGGGGGAAACTTGATACCCCAGGGTCATACAATTTACAATTTTGGTAGAGCACCTTAAGACCCTTCCATTTTTGAAGAGTATTTGATTCTACCATATCTGGGGCTTGAGAAGAAGATTTTTGAAATTTCAGTCAATTCAACCCTTTTTGGCCCAGCCCATCAGCCCTGGGCCAGTCAGGGCGCATATGTGCATACCATCAAACTGCTACCCAATACTGATAATGCTAACCTAAATCGAATAACCTCCAATGGCAATTAAACAATTGTTAGTCCAAAATGTGATTTCCCTATATAAACTATAGTAAAGTTTACGCCCTCCCAAGGGGGAAACCTGAGACCCAAGGGTCATGCAATTCACAATTTTGGTGAAGCACCTTAAGACCCTTCTATCTATGGAGAGTATTTGATTCTACCATATCTGGGGCTTGAGAAGAAGATTTTTGAAATTTCAGTCAATTCAACCCTTTTTGGCCCCACCTATCAGCCCCAGGGGGTCAGTCAGGGCGCATATGTGCATACCATCAAACTGCTACCCAATACTGATAATGCTAACCTAAATTGAATTACTTCCAATGGAAATTAAACAAATATTGGTCCAAAATGTGATTTCCCTATATAAACTATAGTAAAGTTTACCCCCTCCCCAGGGGGAAACGTGATACCCCAGGGTCAAGAAATTCACAATTTTGGTAAAGCACCTTAAGACCCTTCCATCTATGAAGAGTATTTGATTCTACCATATCTGGGTCTTGAGAAGAAGATTTTTGAAATTTCAGTCAATTCAACCCTTTTTGGCCCCACCCATCAGCCCCTGGGGGTCAGTCAGGGCTCATAGGTGCATACTATCAAACTGCTACCTAATACTGATAATGCTAACCCAAATTGAATTACTTCCAATGGAAATTAAACAAATGTTGGTCCAAAATGTGATTTCCCTATATAAACTATAGTAAAGTTTACCCCCTCCCCAGGGGGAAACGTGATACCCCAGGGTCAAGAAATTCACAATTTTGGTAAAGCACCTTAAGACCCTTCCATCTATGAAGAGTATTTGATTCTACCATATCTGGGTCTTGAGAAGAAGATTTTTGAAATTTCAGTCAATTTGACCCTTTTTGGCTTTGCCCTTCCGGCCCCTGGGGGCTGGGGACCAAACAGGCCATTTGTTTTGTTGACCTTTGGCCATGGAAGGTTTCTGCAAAATTTCATTGAAATTGGTTCAGAGATTTTGGAGAAGAAGTCGAAAATGTAAATTGTTTACAGACGCACGACGGACACCGACGGACAAAAGGCGATCGCAATAGGGTCACTTGAGACTTTGTCTCAGGTGACCTAAAATTCATACAATTAAGTTAATAACATCATAAACCAATACATATACAGCTCATTGTCCTATGACCTTAGACCTGAATTGCGCGAATTGGACCATTTTAGTAAACCATTTTCGTTGACATAAGTCTATATGTTTACCGATAACAAAGAACTTCCGGTGAAAGTATCTTATGGAATGATCAATACTATATATTGATTATCACTTTGCATCATAAATATATACATACTTAAAGCTGCTGTTTTAAGAAAACAACACTAACTTGAATTTTGTTTTTGTGAACAAAAAGATATGTGTCCCCTTATTAGCCAATTAATAGAAAAACTACGGTATAAATACTTAACAAAGGGCCATTATATCGCTTTATATAGTGGGGCACGAGACCCAAATTTAGAATTTGACACTCCTACTTACCAAGATACATTAAAACTTTAGCAAGTTTGGTCAACGTAGGTGAAACTAGAACACTGACAGATCAGTAAGAGCCCCTTCTTGTGGCAATATATCCCCCATAATCATCAAGAAACAATCTGCCCATATAGCTGAACTCGATGTTTGACATTTGGACTTTGCAAGGAAGCAAATTATACATTTTACATGTACTATGATGTGAGTCTTGTTTCCTTCCACTTTCATATTTGCTGGGCTAAAAGAAATGTAAATACCGGTGCAATACTCATTTGTTAGCTTTGATTTGCTTTATTTCACCTTAAATACCTCCCCCATCAAGAGTCAGGGTCAAAGTAAGAGATCCACTTTGCCTTTGACCTTTGGACCCAAATGACCCTGACCTTCAAGCCAGTTACCTAGATCTTTGGTCAGTTGACTCATTCTTCAATTCCGACCAACTTTGCTTCATAATATCATAACAAAATGTTCATCAGTGGAAAATACAAAACTTAACCTTGACTTTGAACCTTTGGAACCCGTAACCTTGACCTTTGGTCAGTTGACTCCGTTTCAAGTTCTGAACAACTTTGCTTCATAATAACATACAAAAAATGTTCATCAGTAAAACAATACAATATCTGACCTTGAAATTGACCCAGTGACCTTGACCTTTTGTCAAATGACTCCTTGTTTAATTCTGACCATCATTGCTTCAAAGTGTCATAACAAAATGTTCATCAAGGAAAAGATACAAAATTTGACCTTGACCTTTGACCCAGTGACCTTGACCTTTGGTCAATTGACTCCTTGTTTAATTCTGACCAACATTGCTTCAAAGTGTCAAAACGAAATGTTCACCAGTGAAAAGATACAAAATTTGATCTCACATTTGACCCAGTGACCTTGACCTTTGGTCAAATGACTCCTTGTTTATTTC